TGTGTGTGTGTGTGTGTGTGTTAGCCAGAGGGGGAAAAAGGGGGCCGAGGGGAGAGAGAGACAGAGAGCGTGTGTGTGCGTGCACATATGTGCCTGTGTGTGTATGTGTGTGTGTGTGTGTGCGCGTGTGTGTGTGCGTGTGTGTGTGTATGTGTGTGTGCGTGTGTGTATGTGTATGTGTGTGTGTAATGGCGTCATGGAGAGAGAGAAGAGGCCGAGGGGGAGAGGAGAGCGTGTGTTTGTACCCGCGCACACGCACGCTGCCGAGGCTCGGCCAATGCCCAGCCTGCCAGGATCACCCTCTTCGGGAAGCCACCCAGGTCAGGAGGAGGGCGAGCATCGCCCGACCTTGGCAACCACCCCATCCACCCGCATACGCACACCTGCAGCACATGCCCCCACCCCGCGCCCCGCGACCCCTTGCCCCCCTTGCAGCTGCCCGATCACCGCCGAGCGCCTCGCCTCGACCCCCGGCTTTGAGGACTTCGAGGCGCGGCGACGCGGCAAGTTCACCAAGATGATCGCCGGCGGCATCGCGCCGTCCAAGGGACTCGACGAGGGCGTCGACCGCGAGCTCATGCCCGGTGGTCCGGGCTCGCGGCCGACGTCTCGGTAGCATCTGCATCTCTGTCTGGTGGACTTCCGGCTGGATCTCTGGGTGGCGGCGGATGAGGCCTCGTTGCTGTGGATGCTGGCAGCCTGGCGCCGCCAGACGGCGGCGAGCGGGTGCAGGGTTGGCTGTTGCTGAGGGCCCCGCAGCGCGTCACTCGCTGGTGTCACCGCAGAGGCATGCCCGCCCCCGCTGGCGGCACGGGCGCCAAGGGCCGGTCAACGCGCCGCTCGGCGCCGCAGCCGGCAGCGCCGCTGAGAGCTGACGCGCCGCGTCACTCAATTGGCAGCGTGGTCTGGCCGGACTTGCATGCTACAGACGCAGCGCTGGTTCAAGGAACCCCCACTCAGTCCCCCGCTTTGCATTTGATGTGAACAGCTGCCCACAATCCATTCAAAATTGACTCGCAGCATGGCACTGCTACTTTGTCGCCTGTGTCAATCGGGCGGCAGCTTCCGTCCCAGCGGTGGCCGATTTGATTTTGTTTGTTGCACTATGCCGATGCAGGCGCCCACGGCTGGGCTGGCGGCGTGCAGCCGGCAGCAGCGAGCCATCCCGACCAAATGATGCGGCGCGGACGGCCCCTGCACTTGGCCCCCGCGTCTGTGCCTGTGGGCGTTGCGTGTTACTCCTCAACTTTCTCAACGCAAACAAGAAGATCATGTTGCAGTGATGCAAACGTTGGCAGCCATCAGAGGTCAACTTTGAATTTGCAACACGCTTTGAATTGTAAATGCTTGTTCCGACTGCTGCAAGTTGTGAAGGGGTATTGCTTGTTCGTGGTGTGACGAGGTGGGTTTGTTGCCCGATGACCTGCAAATGAACTAGCGTCCTTCCAGCGCACGACAGGGCCCTGTGCTGCCCCCAGGCGCCGCGTATGCCGCGGGCAGGGCGCGTCCCGGGGCGGCCGGCCGCACCGGCGGATGGGAGCTCGGCCGCAATGCAGCCGCCCTCAGTCCTGGCGCAGGCGTCGGGCCCTTCGTAGTGACAGCACAGCACGCCGAACGGGGCGGTGAGCAGGGGGGTGCAAGGATGTCATCACAGCTGGTGTGCGGTGTGGCGTGTGCCCGAACAACGCTGCCAGGCAGCTGCAAGGCAGCTGCGAGCTCCGCTGCGCCGCACCAAAGCTGCCATCCCAGCAAAGGCGTGCACAAGTCCACAGCAGCGCTCCCAAAGGCTCCCGCGCTCCGCACCCAGCCCGCTCTCTTAGTGATCCCGCGTGTGCACACCTCGCGCTCACCTCTCATTGAATTGCCTGACGAGCCCGGCCCCGGCCAGCAGCAACCCCAGCGCCAGCGCGGGCCCATACAAGCCGCCCCCCGCCCACGCCGACTGCGCGCCTGCGCCCGCTGCCGCCCCAGGGCCGCGCTGCGGACGCCGCTGCCACGGTAGCAGCGCGCGGCGGCCGGTTTCGATTGCGGCGCCGTCCTCCCGTGGATTGCTGCCCCCTGATGGCTGCTCTGCTTTCCGCTGCTGCTGCTGTTGCTGCTTTTGCTCTCCCTGTTGCTGCCCCTCCTGCTGCTGCTGCTGCTGCTGCTGCTGCTTTTCCTGCTGCTGTTGCTCCTCTCCTTGCTGCTGCTGCTGCTGCTGCTGCTGCTGCTGCTGCTGCTCCTGCTGCTTTTCCTGCCCCGCCGTCGCGTGCTCCGGCCGCGCCCGCCGCCGCACGCTCCGCGAGCCAGTCGCGGCGCCGTCCGCCTCCTCTTTGCGCCGCACGTCCTCTACGGCCTGCCTGAGCAGCGGCGCTGTGGCTGGGTGGCTGGGCAGGAGCTCAATTAGCTGCAGCAGTGCGGATACCCAGGAGTCAATCGTTTCCTGAAAGGGCGTCGGACATGGGTGGGATTGTGTGTGTGTGTGTGTGTCTAAGTGTGTAAGTGTGTGTGTGTGTGTGTGTGTCTAAGTGTGTAAGTGTGTGTGTGTGTGTGTGTGCGCGCGCGCGTGTGTGCGTGTGCGTGCGTGTGCATGCGTGCGTGTGCGCGTGTGTTCATGTAAATGTGCGCGCTCATGCATGTGTGTGTTTGTGTGTTTGTGTGTGTTGTGTGTGTGTGTGTGTGTGCGCGCGCGCGTGTGAGAGCGTGCGTGCATGTACATGCGTGTGGAGGAGGAAGGGGTGCGAAGTGGGCAGGAAGCTGAACATCAAAACTCTCGAGACCAACCTGCAGTGACACCTGCCCGCATGCCCGCCGCCCGCCTGGACATATCACGCACGCGCGTGGTTGGGTGTACACACCTCAAAGCTCTCTCTTGTGATGGGGTTGAACATCCTGAAGCAGTCCTCGAACGACGCCGCGCTGTCCCCATAGATCTCCCACGTGAAGGCCAGGGGCACCCTCAGGACTTCGTACATGTAGTCGGTGGCGGTGCCGTGGGCCAGGTAGCTGCGGGGAAGGTGCCGGGCGGGTGCAGGGGCGGGGGGGAAAGGTGGGTGGGTGCCATTGGGTGCGGTGGTCGTAATGGATGCGCCGGCTGGGTTGTGAGTGCGATGTCTCCAGCAGCTGGGAGGGAGAGGGAGCGGCTATCGGGCGCGGCTGGCGAGGAGGGGGGAGACAAGGCGTGGCCACGCGGCGGGGCTGGTAGGGGGCTTTGGCAAGATTTGCGCGAACTGGATCGTGAGAGGTGCCTGCAAATCAGTGGTCTGCAAGAGCCCCGGCGTTTGCAGGCAAAGGATCACGTGCAATGCGCACGGCAGCTGCCTGGAAGCTTCCGGGCTGCACTTTGGGCGTTCAGAATGTGGCCTGGGATTAAGCGAGGACCCTAGGGCGACGCAGCTGCGGCTGCTGCCACTGCGGCGCTGCGAGTTGGGCAGGGGCGGGGCCTTGCCGGCCGCGCCGAATGCAGGAACGCTCACCCGACTGACTTGCCGCCGGACCCGACGGTGCACTTGCCCTTGCAGCTGAGGTCGTTGATGCGGCGCAGCAGGCGCAGCGCGGCCTGGGCGTCGGGGCCTTCGGGGACCTGGTGGAGCGGTTTCAGGAGGATGGGGGGCAGGGGACGTTGGAGGTGCATGCGCGAGCGCACAAATACATGCACACACACGCACGCACACACACAAACACGCACACACACTCGCGCGCACACACACACACACACACACACACACACACACACAAACTTGCCCCTCACCGTCCCCTTGTGGTCATAGGGCGTGAACAGGGCGTACATCCCAGAGTGCACGTT